AAAAAAAAATTCAGTACTTTTGGACATAGTATTACTGAGATATGAATTTTCCAAAATACAGGCGCTTTTCGATTGATATTGTATAAAACATCAATACTTTGAAAAATTCCTATCTCAGTAATACTATGTCCAAAAATACTGAAATATTTTTTACAAGCTAGTCTAATTGAGGGCTTTATCTGGGCAAAGTTTCAGCTCAAAATTCGAAAATACGATTTTGCTGGAAAATCAAGGTCTCAGAGGGAATTTCGGGTAAAACTTGAGTATCTCAGCCAAATCGCAATATGGGCCCATATCCTCTTAGGCTTCTTCTAGTCTACAAGATCCCTACTTATGGACAAAATATGGAGCCAAAAGTGGTGAATCACTTGGGGACCTTCCCTCGTAAGTAGTACATCAACATTGCTGATGAAAAAGCCAAAATATTCAAGAGGAGAAGATAATAAGAATGTTACATTACGAGATAGTCTGAATAATGATCCTTTCGAGGATGATAACGATAAAAATTAATAATAATTGCTAATTGCATGAACTTGTACAGTTTTAGTTGATAGGTATTTGTTATTTTTCTGTAAATTAATAACCGATGCGCAAAAGTCTTCGGAAGAATATCGATAAATTGTGTCTCAAAAATATAACATTCGATTGACTTTGACTCTTTTTTTGTTTTTAGTGCCATGACCAAAATATACCATTAGATAGAGCTGCAAACATTGTATCTAAGGCATAAATTTTAAAAAAAACTTTCACACCTCTTGAAAATTTCCTGAGTTTTTTTCCTCTATTACACAATTTTTACGAAATTGTTATTTCAGCAAATGGAACATTATAAAAGAGGATTTTCTTATCAATAATCTAACCAAAAAAACTGGGTGGAATGATAGAAATTGAAAAACTTTATCCGTAGATAAGTCTAACTCAAAGTTTGATGCCAGCGAAGTTAACGACTGAAAATATTGAAAAACTACATCGAAAAGATATTTTGACCGTTTTCCTGTATTTGATTTTCATCATAATAAAGCGAAAGTCAAAATTTTAATTATGCTCATCGGCTTCATATTTCAAATGTTGCTATTTTTGAAACAAAAGCAATACAAGTCAAACCAATATGAAGTTTATGAAAAATGAGTCTCGATATTTTTTTCAAAGACTTTTACATGGCTTACTGCATTTAAAAATATTTATTGATAATAAAAATGTTTTATTTTAATGCATTTGAAAACAAAAAAAAAAGACTTTCGAAAAAGCTCATTAATAATATCGTGTCTGTTGCCGATTCCCGCGAGTAACTACACAAGCAAAAATTGTTCTCACACAACACTATTCTTTATACAAATGACAGAAGTTAAAAATAAAATAAAACAAATATGCACTTCGAACAATATCTACTATATGTAATAAAAAAACAAATGTCAAATGTAACAGGCGAACTGGGCGAAGGAGCAGCTTTTAACCTTTGTGTTCGGACCATCTTGTAGAAGAAAGCATTTGAAAATTTAAAATTTATGACAATTTTTGATTGACCTGTCGAGATCTATCTACGCTGAAAATTTTAGAATTTTCTGATCAACTGTTGTTGACAAGGAAGGAAAGAGCAGAGTTCATAAAATTAATATTCTTTAGAAAAGAAATTATTTAAAGTTAACTCATATTTGAGTTGTTAATGACTCGATGAATCTCTTCATAAAATCAAAAGAAGAAATCTTTATTTTTACCCTTGAATATTAACTAACAAAAAAATTGTATAGAAGTTGTAATCTAATTATACTTTTATCATTTTCCATTTGAAATCATGTAAAGATTACCAAAGGTGTGCATACCAATCCTTGCTTCAAGTATAAAGATATTTTAAAATCTTTTATTCAATCTGAACATTAGGTAAAATTTGTTATACTTTTTTTCTTGAATATTAAATCAGGTAGAACTGAAATTTGATCTACATTTTCTTTGTTTTTATTAAATAGACCAGTTTTGAAAAAATGTTAAAATACTTGAGGGTGTTCTCAGTGATTTTTTATTCATGATTTAAACGAAATACTTTTTTGCAGCTATTGTTTTCAGCCATTTTTTAAATAGGATAGACTTGCATTAATCTTTTTTTGAATAGGTTCACCATGGAAAAAAAACAGGAGTAAAGATGTTTTCTAAGACTATAAATCGTACAAGATTCGATTAAAAAAAACATATTCAACAAAAAGAATTTAAAATAATTTTTACATTAAAATTCATTATGCTATAGGTAAATGCCTAGGATCTTGAAACAGAAATAGCTCATTCATTGTAAACACCTAAGTGTAGTCTTAGGCAACAAATGTTTTTTAGAATTACGCATTAGTAATAATTAAATTTTATAAGAAGCTTGTAGATATGTAAGAAATAGCTATGTAGAATATTTTTATATCATTCGAAGTTCTCATTACATATGAATAAGACAACTATATGAATATCCAATGCAAAATTACAGTGTCGACGTTTATTTGCTCAAAAATTTTTATTCTATGGATATTTTTATGTCTTTGAATTCTACAATATAGAAATGTAATAACTGTAGTTGTTTGTTTTTCTATATTCGCCTTGATTACACTAATTTTGAATATAAGACTAATGAAACTCTTTACACTTGGTCTACCTCAGAGGTAGTAGTTATTGTTTGATGTGATAATTTAGTTTTAAATTTTCCACAAAGATAAACTTAACAATATTCATTTTGTCTCGTTATGAAAAAAACGGAAGACGAAGAAGAAGAAGAAGAGAAAAGAAACTAAAACATTATCAATCCGATCATTATAATCAGTCGATGCTTTAGTTTGGTATTCCTTTTCGCCTCTTCCGTTCAAGTAACTATCTTCATTTGTTAGTTTCTCTTTCCTTGTTGCTTGATGAATATGCTCGTATATTCATCATTTCAACAAGAGCTAAAAGTCAAAAAGATTATTTCATTTTAGATATATCTAACTGTCTATCTTCAATTAAATTTCAAGGTAAAATAACGATGGTTTCAATTTTGAATTTAATCAAATGTATTATTATAATGACAAGTATGATTTTCTAATTAAAAACTACGTCATTTATTTATTTTTGTTTTCTAATAACTAGTATTTTTTTGTTGTCAATATCAAGCAACCATCATCAATGATGATGATCATGAAATGAATGATTTCGTTTTCGGTGATGATCTTCGTCAACCATTACCCACCCAACAAGATCAGTTTTATCATCAACTATTTCAAAGAGCTTCATTACGTTATCATCCACATGTTCTTTATAAAAAAGCTAGTCTTAAGCCAATTATTGGTCAAAATGGAAAAATTACATTCAGTAAACGAGATGATGACTAAAGATTTTTCATTCAATGATCAATCAATTTGCACATTTAATTTTATCCTAAATGTTTCACTTTTAAAAGACATAAAATTTGTCACAAATATTGAAATAAATTAAATAAACTTAGTTTTTCTCTTTTCATTATTGTCGAAACATAAACAAATATTTCATGAATATGCTTGAGGCTTTTTCATAAATCAATAAAATATGAAAAACTATTGTGCCGTGTATTAAAAAAAGGAATAAGATCATATGAAAATTTATTAGAATATGATTATATTAAAATGCAAAAAAGAGAAATCATAAAAAATATTAAAAATTTGTATTACAAATGAAGAAAAAGATATTCTAAAAAAAAAAGATTTGTCTAAAATGAAATCTTATTCAGTGTAATATGGCTTGAATTTTAAAAATAAAATTATTTTTTCTTGATATATTTCTTAATTTTGGAATATAATATAATGAAGAAAAACAAACAAATTCCATTTGTTATGAATCTACAAGGAAATAAAATTTAGTCCATGTCTATCTTTCATGTCAATCTTCGTACATTTAATGATGTTTGCTTTATTTCAATAACATAAATCTTTCGTTTCTTAGATGTTTTTACTTTTTGTATACATTATATATAAGGTAAGAATATTTAGAATTCAACAATAATAATCTTGATAGTCCATCATTAATAATGAGGTAACACTAACTTAATGCTAGCGTTTATGTGTTAATAATCTTGTAAGATGTTTATAGATATCTCAATTCAGTTAAAAAATTAGTTTCTAACTGCGCCGTCAAATCATCGTTACACTGTCTCTATTACAAAAAGTATGTCTATCGCTATCGGATCAGAATGAATCTATATTCATATATATATATATACTTATATGGGTATTAAATATGTAAATTTATTTTGATCCGACGGAGATTGAAACGCTTCGTAATATAGATAATGTAAAGTTCATTCGACGGGTTAGACATTCATGTGATAAGTGACTCGATACATGTATGAAAATTTTACACAATTATTAATAAATTTTAGTATTAGGTTAACGTTAGCATAATACTAAGATATATGTCAAACTTGAAAATTTAATTCAATTATTGAAAATCCCATAGCTAAAATCCAAATATTCTCTTATTCGAATATATTTTAATAATTAAATTCAACCTTCAGGTTTGACATGACTATATATCGAAGTACCGAATAGCAGTGAGCAGGAAATCAAGAGAAATGAAATTAAGGAAGTAGGATTGAGAGTGATAATGTGCATCAATGCTTATAAAGAGTGTTTTTATCGGCAGATTATCCGCACGACTGTTTGCTTTCAAGATGGAAAATTCTTCATGTCTAGATTACGTCTGCATCTTGTATCCATGCAGTTGTGTCATGTGCAGAAAAAAAATTAAATATAAGATTTTTACTTTTTTAATTAAAAGTTTATGTTTGTCAGTAAAACTTTAATAAGTCTGAACCAGACATTAAAAGAATCAGAAATTTATAACGTGAATATTATAACAAAGTTAATATTGTAATGTCTGTTAATTTTTTGAACTTCGCACTAACAGTACGCTTTTTGTTCCAAAAAATGTAAATCTATTGTTTTGTATCGCAGAACACTGTGTATCTAAGTATTTCAAAATCAAATTTTGAGTTTTGTTTTCCAATATCTTAAAAGATATAATATAAAACAAATTGTTGCAGTTTTATCAAATAATAATATGTCTTTTTTATAGAATATGTTATGATTGAATTGTAGTTTGAATGTTTTCGTTTCCGTTTTTGGCACTAGACTTGATTGAATTCATCTTTTTTTATAGAAAATTTTCCTTGTTGAATAGTTTATAATAAAAGAATATTTTAGTTACTGATAATCACTAGTATTGTTTGTTGGTGATTTAAATAGGATATGATAGAAGTTCGAACAAAAAAGAAACATGCAGTTTGATTACGTATTTATTGAAGTTTCATGCAATATATGTCAGATGAAATTTCTGCATCTAAAGAACTCAGAATTAAAATAGTTTTACTCATGGTCAAATTTACATAAAATAGCATTGTAAAACTGTAATTAGAAATTGAATTTATAAAAAACCACGCCAACTAAACATTACATTAACAAAATATTCCATCGATTTTGTGGAACCAATATTGCCGAAAATCGATGACGTTTTGAAAGATCATGTAGTAATTATCGAAGAGATAATGACATTTATAAAAGTGACTGAGGATCAAGTGTTCGACCTATGTAAACCTTCTTTGTAGAAGTACTTTCTACGGCTTTAATTAGAAATGTTTCGTCTTAATCCGATATGTTGTCGTTTGTCGCAATGAACAAGCTTATACCATTGACTTTTTTCTCACTAATCGATGTAAGTCTTCCAAGATCTGATCAATTTTCGAGTGTCATTTTCACAAAATCGCTGAACCGCAATTCTATCTAATATAGAATTCTATTGACATATGATTCTCACGTCTTTAGATACACATATTCTATCTGAAATATATTGAATAAAGCTTTAATGAATATATTATCAGACTGTAACAAAAAAAGAACATCTAAATCCTTTGCGTTGCTGAAAAGGTATCAAAGTTTTTTTCTCTCAGACTTTTGAAACATCCTATATTTATCAAATGTAGAGTAGCTTTTTTTTTTTGAAAATTTTCTACAACATTCCAATTAATGAAGTAATGCAAGTTATGAATTGAAGAAAAATGCCTTTACAAGTTATATAAATATATATAAAAGAAATTCTAAACATACCATATGAAATGCTGGTAGAGAAGACATCATTCATCATATCTCGAAATGATTTCACTCATTTTGGTGAAAGACAATCTATTAGAGATGTTGAAATATACAGATAAAAATTTGGACCTCTTGTCGACAGATCGTGACAGACATTTTAACGAAACCCTTTCCTCTTCTCTATGATCTTTCATGGACGCTTTAACAATACTTTTTCTCTGTCACAGAGCATAACAGATGTATATATCCATTATCGCTATCTTCTTACGAATAATGACAGACATACTCGTGTGACCAAAATCTACTGCAATATTAGTATGGAATATATCTGAATTGAAGGTAATTGCCTTTTGCCCTACTTTCACACTGACCATAATATATGATAATTAAAACTTGTCATCATCGAGATTTTTCACCATTAGAAAGTAATTCACAAACGAAAATATATGTATGTTGATGAATTCCGTCTTTTACAATGTTATTTGCTCCATCGCATTTCACATTTTAATCACTCATGAATAGTACTAAAAGCTTTTGTATTTAACTGTTGACTGGTAAAGATTTTACATGAGATAATTTCGTTTTTTGTTTTCAATTTCAATAAAAATATTTGAACGTTTATGGTTTATTGTCGTTCAACAACATTGTCTTACTAAACATACCAATCAAAAAAATTTTATCGACAGAAGAGTGTCGAATTTTGACGTTGATAATCAAGTAATTTGATTATATGTTAATAATCTTGGTTTTTAGAAACTTCTCTATGACAAAAAAAAAAGAATTTACATAGGCTTTGCTATTTGAATTTTAGCAAGAGAACATATTCAGCTGTCGGACAGCATTCAACTTCGCATTAAGGCTACTAGTAGGTCTTGATGAGACTAAGAATAGTTGTAAACTTGTCTTGTCTATGGCCTACTATTGAAAAATTATGGCTGTTTTCATGAAATTCTTACCGAAGACTAGGCGTTTTCGAAAAGTTTAAAATAAAGAGTTTCAAGCTGAAATTATGTCTATAAGTACGATTGATAATCATTAGATTGTTCTGGAAGTTTCAACAAAACAAACATGTTCTTATTGAGATATTCAATATTTAAAAACACAGTAGTTTACCATAGGAGGATACAGTCATCGAGTTTACTTGGAAATTGAATATTTTGAAAAAATATATTTTAGTATTTTGCTGAAACTTTTAGAACAATCTAATCAATATCAAACATATCTATTGACATAATTTCAGTTTGAAACTTTTTGTTTTGAATTTTTCGAAGAGTTCTTGCCCTTACTAAAAACTTTATTTAAAACAAAATGTAACTCTTCAATAGTAGGTCATAGGCGCGAATCGTTATGAACTTTGCTCGGTTTCATCGAGACTTACTCGAAGTCTTAATGCGAAGTCGAACAGCGTCGGACAGTTGAATATGTTTTCTCATAAGAGAGATGTTTGAAAATATAATTGAAATTATTAAAGATAGAAATTTATTTAAATGTGTTTGATATTGAAATTCAAATATATTTAATATATTCTTTTATGCAAAAACATCATCTAAAACGAGCGTTGAAGTGTGGTGGTAAAAATTTAGACTCCCCCAGACCGTGATCGACTTTGTTGGTATACGATCAAAGATCGTATATTAATAATGTCTCGTTACAATATATAAACTACTTTTTTATTGCGTTTCTACAGCATTGGATAAAAGGATGGCGAATTAATGTATCCCGAAATAAATGGAATAAAGCAATCTTCTGTGGTTAGCAATAGCAACTACATCGTGTTTCACATTTTAATTTCGGAGGGATTGCGACAGTAGCTTTTTTCTTTCTTGTTATATATTTCTCTTCTTCGATGATAGCTATAATTTTCCTATTTCACATATAGACCATTATGACAGTAGATGAAAATATTGTTTAATATGAGTGATTAATCGGGTTTCATTGATACTTAATATTTATTATAAATTAACTTTTATAATATGAAATACTCGATAGTATGTACATTGTTAAATATCGTATGAATTTTCTATTCACGCCATTATTTTGAAATTTTTTTAATGTATCTAATGTTCTTTTAAAGATTTGATTAAGTTGAAAATGAAAATTCAGAATAATATTACAATCATTTGAAAATAAATTTTTGTATAATGCCTCTTGTAGTAATTTGTTAAAAATGATCAGTTTGTGTATTACATCTGTAGTTCATCATTTTCTACACCACCTATAGACAAATTAACATAAAATAAAACTTTGATGAATAGGAAATCAACCTATAA